CAAACTGCAACCGAGGTACGTGCCCTTAGCGGGAACTGAACCCAGGTCTCTCTGGTCCACAGGTCGATGCTCTAACCATTGAGCCAAACCAGCCAGGGCTAGATGTTATCTTTTTAAAGATTTTTTTCTTTATTGATTTTTAGAGAAGAAGGGAGAGGGAGAGAGAGATAGAAACATCGATGAGAGAGAACATCGAGTGGCCGCTTCCAGCATGCCCCCCACTGGGGATTTGGCCCACAACCTGAGCATGTGCCCTGACCGGAAATCAAACCCGCGACCTCTTGGTGCATGGGTCAACACTCAGCCACTGAGCTAACACAGGGCTAGATGTTATCTTTAGGGCTTAATGTTTAAGGGAGTGGTCATGCAGGGGCTTGTATGAGACTGTTCTCTGGTCCTCCCTTTTGTTCCTCCTCTGAGGTAGCCTCCCACATGACCAGCGACATGCCAGGGGAGGAAAGGTCATCCTGGGGGCGAGGTCCTTGTTTTCCCAGTTTTGCTCATTGCTGGGTACCGGGGAATTTTTGCCCTGATGACCTGCCATACCTGGCCTATCATTTCTCCTCTGCTTACACCTGTCTAACTGCTGCTACAGAAGGACTCTGGCTTTTAGCCTAAGTGAACTGGACAGCTCTTAGAGGCTTTGAGGAGGGACAGATCTGGTTTTGGTTCTAAAAGAATCAATTTGTGAAGAATAGAGTTATGGAGGAAGAGTCTGCCGCCCAGACCACCTCAGCGATGGCAGTAATCTAGGCAAGAGATGAGAGTGGCGCAGGCCCTGGGTGCTGGCGGCAGGAGTGGGAGCCCAAGGACTTGCAGAGGGGCAGCTGGTGCGGGTGTGACGGGAAGAGGAGGTGCGAGGGGGCTCTGAAGCTTTTACCTGTGCTGAAAGGAGGGGGCACTTTGTGCCAAGGTGGTGAAGACTCTAGCTTGATTTAGGGCATGTAGAGTTTGAGGTGTGCCAGAGACCTCCAAGGGAGATTCTGAGTGGGCAGTGGGACGTGTCAGCCTGAAGTTTGGGGGCTCTGTGCTGAGGTGCATGTTGGGAGATGGCAGGCTACTGATGGTAGTCAAAGTCACAAGCTTGGTGGAGACCACTGATCACAAGTGTGTAGAGAGAGAAAAGGCCCAAAGACTGAGCCCTCAGGGCCTCCAATCTCAGGAGGGTGGAGAGAGCTGGTGGAGGAATGGACAGGGAAAAAGACAGAGTAGAGCCCCAGAACCAAAGTGAACAAGAAGATGTTTAAAGAAAGTATCTGGCTGTATGAAGTGCTGCTTGGACCACCCAGTAAGACTTGGCTGAGCCCAGGCATGAGGTTCGGCACGGTGCAGGTGGAGTGGTTGGGAGGGGAACCTGAGAAGGGGAGCCTGGCTCCGCTGCTCCTGAATAACCTTGCTCTGAACAGTTGCAGGAATCACGATGACAGCGAAAGGGGGATATGGAGATGGGACAACCAGTAAAGAGGGACTTGGGGATGCTGGAGAATGAGGACATCGTGACTGAAATGACCCTTCAGCATGCGCAGGGGTGGACCACATGGACTAATGGCATGTGGAGTCTTGGAGAGGACGTAAGCAACATACTCATGGCAGGAAGGTGGGCTGGCGCAAGGTCAGTTGTGAGAGCAGGAGGTACGCTCTCCTGTTGGTGAGGATGTTTTCAGTAAAGTAGGACACAGAGCCAGCGGGGGGCAGGGGGGTGGGGGAAGGAGGCTTAGGATCTTCTGCCAGGAAAGTGAGAACCTGAATGGACAGGAGAGGTGGAGCAGGTGTGGGGTTGCCAGGAGGACTCAGTGCCCTAGAAACTAGTCTTCACAAGTAAAGCATTTCTCTAGCCACGCAGTCTCCCTTACCCAGGACAGGGGTCTGCAGGGCAAGTGTGTGGGTGAGAAAGGGGCTAAGGAAGGAGGTGGGCATATGAGGGAGGAGGACAGACAGCAAGTAGGTGGAGGGGACAGTACACTGTGGCTCCTAGTGTGGGTAAATGTGGCTGTGATCAGGTCACTAATAGGAGGGAGCCCAAAATTGAGGTTGTGGAGGTGGTGATGACAGGGAATGAGTGGCAGACTCCAGGTTGTGGCTGATGGGTGCCTTGTGAAATCATATAAAGAGTAATTAATAAAAATGTAACAGAAAAGTATAGGAAATGTTAGGGCATGCACAAAGTAAGAGTGTGTATTAAATCATGAAACTTTTCTTATGTACGTGTATACTGGATCATAATGAAGAATATATATTTGTACTATTTTTTATTGTGGTAAAGCACAATAACAAAATTTGCCATTTCAACCATATGTTAGCCCTGACTAGTTTGACTCAGTGGTTAGAGCATCAGCCCGCGGACCAAAGGGAGCATACCTGGGTTGCAGGTTCAATCCCCGGCCCCAGTTGGGGTCATGCTGGAGGCAACCAATCGATGTGTCTCTCTCACATCTCTGGAAAAAAAAAAAAAAATTGATGGAAAAATACCCTTGGGTGAGGATTAACAAAATAAAATTTTAAAAAATATATTTTTATTTTAGAGAGAGGGGAAGGGAAGGAGAGATAGAAACATCGATGTGAAAGAGAAACATTGATTGGCTGCCTCCCATATGTGCCCAAACCTACTGAGTATTGAACCAACAACCTAGGTATGTGCCCTGACCGGGAATTGAACTGGAAACCCTTCAGAGCCTGAGACGATGTTCCAACCAACCAAGCCACACCAGCCAGGGCCATTTTAACCATTTTTAAGTGTATGTTCAGTAGCATTAAGTACATTCTCATTGCTGTGCAATCATCAACACTATCTATTCCCAAAGTTATCATTATCCCAAATAGAAACTTTATACCCATAAAATGTATCTTTTACTGTGATCATCGTTAAAAACATTTGAAAGAAACTGGTCAGTGGCCAGCAAGAGGGTTCATATCTGGGGCCATGCAGAGGACAAAATCCTTGCAGAAGAGGGGCCAGTGAGCTGACAGGCCAGGGTTCTGGAAAGATCACCTACAATTCAAGTACATACTGCAATCACTGACATTTGAATGGAAAGCTGTGTCTCCAAGAATGAAGCTAGCAACCATAATGCAAAGAACAATACACGGTGTCTGGTGCTAAAATTTTCAGAGAGTGAAGGGGTCAGCAGAAATAGAGTAGAGATAGCCTTGGCCAATCTTGCTCAGTGGTTAGAGCATTGGCCCGCAAACCAGAGTCCCAGGTTCGGTTCCCACTAAGGGCATTATCTCGGTTGCATTTGGTCCTTGGCCCTGGTTGGGTCGTGCGGGTGGCAACCAGTTGATGTGTCTCTCTCACATCAATGTTGCTCTCTCTCTCTTCCTCTCTCTTTCCCTCCCGCTCTGACAGTAAATGCAAAAATGTCCTTGGGTGAGGATAAAAAAAAAGAGAGAGAGCAGAGATAATCTAAGTACCTAACCACCACACATAGTTAGATATGTAGGTAGGTACTGTATATGTTAAGTTTAATATTGTTCAGCCACTAAAAATTTATAAAAAACTGCAATAACAGAAAAATTCCCCTTCAAAAAGCAGAATACAGAATTGTAAACTTTGGGTCATATCAGAATTATAATTTGTTTTCAACAAAGGACTGAGAAAAGATATTTGCAATAGCAAAAACAGCAAAAGCTTCACATATAAGACAAAGTACTCTTTTTTTTTTTTTTTTTTAATCCTCACCGGAGGACACTTTTTGTTCAGGTAGTGGGGGGGGGGGGAGGAGAGGAAGAGACAGAGAGAAACATGGACGTGAAAGAGACACGAGTGGCTGCCACCCGTGCGACCAACCACGGCTGGGGACAAACTGCAACCGAGGTATGTGCCCCTAGCAGAGACGGAACCCGAGTCTCTCTGGACCGCAGGCCGACGCTCTAACCGCTGAGCCAAACCAGCCAGAGCAAGACAAAGTAATCTTAACAACTCCCAAGACAAAGGAAACCTAGTTGGAAATTGAAGGAGACCTGAAAGACTTAACAGTTAATGAAGAGATGCTAACACATCTCTGAAAAACGCATCTTAAAACAATTTTAAGTTCGTGGAAGCAGGGAGCTGGAGACATCGCTAAAAGAATGGCTAAGTTCTGACAAATGTTTGAGGCAATATCCAGAGGCTTTCTAAGTAATAAATCAAGTGACACCCAAAGACACAGAGATCTTTATAGCACATTGCACAAAAGAAACAAGATCTAAAGGATGCTAACATGTATAAAAATGTTATATACATTGTAACCTGAACAGTGTGGGTTTTTAAAACTATGTAATTTAAAAACCAATCTATAGAGAAAGGCTGTGGGACCAACAAAATAATGACATGAGAGGAGTGAGGGAAAGAAGTGTGGACAACGAGGGAGGACGGGCTGTCTGGGGGCCGAGAGCCTGTTGGGTCCGATTTGGGGGTTCCAGAGCAGAGCTACGGGTCAGGTGTAGATCCAGAAGTTCTTGGGCTTGAAGAGTTCTGGGAGGGTGGTCCCAGCAAGTGAGCGCGCAAGACCCCGTTCTGCCCACAGGGTCAAGGAGGGTCTGGCCAGGAAAAACCCGGCGCCGCGCACGATCGACCCACACGCCCCGCCTCGGCCCCGGGAGCTGTGAGCCCAGCATGTCCACAGTCGACCCACGCGTGTGGACACAGTAGGTGACTTGCGGGCTTGCCGGGGCGCGGGCTCCACTCAGCCAGAGAATCCTGCGGGGGAAGCGCCCAGCCCGGCCCGCACGCGCCTGCGCGCGGCGCTCCTCGCTGAGCACGCCCCCGAACCCCGCACCGCACGGCCCCGCCCCTGCGCCCCTGCGCCCCTCCGCCCTCACAGGCTGGCTCCGAGGCCGCGCTCGGAGGGCCGGCCAATGGGAGCGCAGCGCGCCCCGTGGCACGTGCGCCCCTGCCCCGCCGTGGCGAGTGCGAGCCGGCCGAGCTCCCGGTCCCGGAGCGCGCAGGGCGGGGGCGCGCGGGCAGGGCGGGACGCGGGCGGGCGCGGGCGGTGCTGTGCGCTGATTGGCCGGCGCCGCGTTCCGAGGCCGTTAACGGCGGCGCGGCGGGGCCGCGGCTCCAAAACAAAGGGCTGGCGGCCCGCGGGGCGGCGGCGGGAGGATGCCTCGCGCCCTGCGGAGGTGCCAACGGCCGCAGCGCGTCCCGGGCCGCTCCGGGGCCGCCTGAGGACCGAGCCCGCGCTGACCGGGGCCCGGGCCGGATGGGCACTGCGGGCCGGGGCGCGGACCGCCGAGCGGCCGTGAGTACGGGCGGGCCTGGACACTGTAGCGCGGGCGGCTACTTTGTGGACCCGAGGAACCTGCGGCTGCGGGCAGGGTCCGGAGGCACCTGTTGGGCGTTCCGGCGGGCAGGCGGGTAGCGAGCGGGCCACACCTGTCGATGTTGCCTTCTGATTTGATTCTTTGATTTGTTGATATTTGGTTCACTCCGTTTTGGAGCAGACCAGAAAGCCTCATCTTTGATTTTGCCTCCGCTTTCTTCCCTTCTTCCCGCCCCCGCCCCCCCCCCCCCCCCCCGGCCATGAAAAATGTACGGAGGGAATGAACTACATAATAATAGGCTTTTCCCTCTTTAAAACAGTAAGTCGCCATTGGGGAGGAGAATGAGGACAAAGAGGTCTCCTAGGAATGATTATGAAAAGGGGGAAACGTTTTCAAGTTGCCCACATAAAGATCGTGACTAAAATGAATTGTCCTCCGTGTTCACCACTTGTGGCACTAGGCTGTGTTAAAGCAGAGCTTGCAAAGCCTTCGCTTTGGAAACCTGCTAAGCAGGGTACCCCCCACCCCCAGCCCTGCCTGTGATGGGCATCTTTGATGTCCAAATTATGTGCTAAATTTCAGGATGGAAAGAAAGCTGAATTCCGTTTTAGATAGTGGCCTTGAAGACATCGATTTCCCCACCCCCAAGCCTTTTCTGTTCAGTTGCATTTCAGACTTTCTCTTTGTATCCAAAACATACACACCTTAACCTGTCCATTCCTTTGCCAAGAATGTTATTTTTTGCACCAACCAGTCCTTCACTCTCCTAAACTACCCAAGCCTCAAGACAAGGCTTGCCTCCTCTGGGGAACCCTTTCAGGTGCTTCACCTGAGCATGCTGCCCCTCTCCCATCACCTGTGTATCCTCGGCCTCTCCTCTGTTTTAATGGGTGTGATAGATGTTTGTTGAGCCCCTGCCTTGTGCCAGGCACTGAGCTTGATCCCAGTGTTGTTGAGTTTCATAATCCTGTACTGGTTCCCCTACTCCTAGCTGTGAGCTCTTGGGTGACAGTAGTGGCACATCTGAAGAATGCTAATAGTGCGGCTCTCCTAGACCTTCATGCTCCCTCCCCTTGATCTCACAGGGTCAGGGTGTCTTCTGCTCGTGGGAACCCCTCAGGGCTAGGACGTGAGCAAATTCATGTCTTAAAGTGACCGTGTATCACAGGGTCTGGCCTGTTTTGGACGCTTTAAAAAAAATAACTGAATGATCCTAATCTGAGCAGTAGTCTTTCTTGCTTTTTACATCAACTTCTTATATTGGAATAATTTTAGATTTACATAAAAGTTGTAAAAATAGTAAAGACAACCTCAGTATGCCACACACACAGTGTTACCATCCCCATTGTTACCATCCATCCTACATTGCCACGGTACATTTGCCAAAATTAGCAATTGACACGGGTACATTAAGTAAATTCCAGACATGAAGTCTTTCTGTTTTTGCAGCACTAAAATCCGTAAAGCTCTTTATGTTGAGAGCAGTGTTCCTATGTCTGCCTTCAATTCCACCAGGCTTCCCGAGGTTCCATGAGGGCCCCGCGTCATGGGGCAGGGCTGGGAGTGTGGAGCACAAAGGGCTCTCGTGTCATTTTAATGTATTTTTCTCCCTGGAAGACTGATGAAGAGTATAGTTTAGAATATGAAGCAGCAGCTGAAGTCCGCCTGCTTTAAAACCATTCTCTGATACTTTTCATTCAAGATTCATTTGGTTTTGAATTTTTAGAAAAGTAGATCTGTTAATCAGCAAAACCTCTAGAGAGTGAGAATTTTGACAAGAGATTTCAGCAGAGGTTGGAGAAAGTTCTAAATAGCCAAGTTAGTGGAGGGCCAAGGGTTCTGGGGAGGGCAGTATGAGTTCGTTTCTGGAAAGATGGCAAGAGGATGAGATGGACCCGGCCTGCTGGGTGACATTGTGACAGAGACAGGAGCACTGTGGAAAACCTGTCCACCACTGAGAGTAAATAGAAATCCAGGAGCCAACCAACCCACTGCCCTGGAAAGGCACCCTCTACCCAGGCACCTGCCATGCCACAGAACCAGGACCAGGATTCCGTGTGGTTTGTGAGCTGTTGAGCCAAGCTTGCTAACTCTGCCACACTATAACAGTGACACAGCCTGTTGTGTGAGTCTCTGGACCACCTTGTGAATTCCGTATTACCCCCATTTTACAGATGAGGTAACAGCTTGGCCACCAAATCCATGGCACAGTTTGAGTGGAGCCTTCTTTCAGCCATGTCCCCATCCTCCACCCTGGCAACCTGTCTCTTGTCAAACTTCACCTGCTGGCTTCCTCATGATGCCACCTGTCTTCCCAGCATCAGCACACTCTCCCCCAAGCACTGGCCCCCTTTCTGATTCCTCTTTGCATTTCGGGTTTTTCCTTTCCCTTGCACAACACAGGGCTTTGAATGTTTAGTTCTGTTTTATTTAGCATGTGACTAATAGTGTAAGATCACCAACCTCTTTCCTCTTGCTTCAATCCAGTCTTCTAGGTATAGTCCCTCCCTCTCAACTGGAAAGAAGGGCCGTCCTGAGTGTGTATTGTAGTTCCTGCATCTCCCCTTGGTGGTAGCAGGGAAGCAAGCAACCTTTGCTAGAATGTCCCAAGGCAGTGATGGGAAACTTTGTTACTAGTGGGAGAATTAAAGAAGAATGTGCTGAAGGTTCTTCTAAAAGAAAGGCTCAGTGCAAACTCATTAATCTGTAGGCTCGGTGGGAGGAGAACTGAGGACCAGAACCTGGGCAATGCAGGAACTCGGACCCCTCAGGTTCCCCGGAGAGGCAGGGGCAGTGGAGTCCGCAGAGGGCCGAGGGGGCTTTATCTGAGGACAGCTGCATAGGTGGTAGGTCTGAAGGAAGGAGGCTTCTCCAGTGGTCCACCAGGGCTGCAGTTCCTGAAATGTGGAGAAAAGATTTTCATCCTGTAACTCAGGTAGGAAGGAAGCCGGTGAGGAGAAGCTGGTACTGCCTAAGGCAAATTGTACCCATGCTGTCACCCTTTGATGTAAATCCTTCCAGGCCTTTCCAGGCCTGTGTGTGCACCTGCCGTGTGGGTTTGAATTGTCAGTACATACACTTGGTATCAAAATCAAAAGTTACCAGAAAAAGACAGTGAAAAGGAAGTCACCTTCCCTGTCCTTCCTGTCCTCAGCCTGCAGTCCCACTTTGGAACTATTTCTGATTCATGTTTATCAGCATGTTCCGGGGTCTCCTGGTTAGACTTGAGGTGGTTTCTAATCTTTTGTTATTTCAGGCAACATTGTAACAACTGTTATTCAGTTACATTGCCCTGTGCAAGTCCAGAGGTAAATGCCTGGGATGTATACTCAGTCTAGGGGTGTGCCTGGGAGCACTGATGGGTATTACCAAATGGCTACATTGCAGCATTTTCTCACCAGTGGTGTTACCAACCTTTTTTTTCTAATCCTCATCGGAGGACATTTTTTGATATTTTGTTCAGATCGAGTGGGAAGGAGAGAAAAAGAAACATGGATGTGAAAGGGATACATCGAGTGGTTGCTACTCACAGGGTCCAACTAGGGCTGGGGACAAACTGCAACCGAGGTACGTGCCCCTAGTGGGAACCGAACCCCGGTCTCTCTGGACCGCAGACCGACACTCTAACCGCTGAGCCAAACAGGCCAAGGCAGTGTTACCAACTTGTTAAAAATCTTTGCCAACCTGCTAGGAGGTTGTAAGGCAGATATCAGTGTACCTTTAATTTGCATCAATGAATAAAGGTCAAACCTGTCTACAGACACTGTGGTCCAGGGTATAGACTCTTTCTGACTTTGAATCCAGCCCCTCAGCTTGCTTGCTGTACAATGTTGGCAGATTGATTAACCTCTCTGGGCTTCAGTGTCCCTGTCTACAGGGTGGGACTAATAAGAACACTCAACTCTTAGGGCTGCTGTTAATTCGATTTTCATAGAGTCAGCTGCTTAGAATGGTGCTGACATTGGCTATGAGGCTCTTTGGTAGATTCTACATTTCCTTTTCTGTGGTGGACGTGATCTCCCCGGACATGCCACCTGCCTGGGGTTCTGCTTTCTCCAGGAACTGTGGCTGGACACAGCAGGCCGTGTGAGCACACACTGTGTCTTTTTTTTTTTTTTTATCCTCACCTGAGGACAAGCTGAGGACATTTTTTGTTCAGATAGAGTGGGAGGGAGAGAGAGGAAGAGAGAGAAGAGAGAGAAACATCGACGTGAAAGGGACACATCGAGTGGCTGCCACCACATGACCCAACCACGGCTGGGGACAAACTGCAACCGAGGTACATGCCCTTAGCAGGAACCAAACCTGGGTCTTTCTGGACCACAGGCCAATGCTCCAACTGCTGAGCCAAACCAGCCAGGGCGATTTTGAGCCATGTTTTCTTCCGGAGCTCTGTCCATCAGCACAGTAGTGTCAGGGAGACCCCAGTTTCCTCTGACACTGACAAGCCCGCTTCTTTGTCTGCCTGGTGCCTCCCTCCTCCTCATGGTGAAGTGGAGGCCTGGGGTTGGAGCTCACCTGCCAGGTCATGGTAATGCAGGAAGGAAACAGTAACTGGCGTGGGGGAATAGAGAGAGTGGAGCATTCTGGTGTCCTGTGGGTGTGAGGACCTGACAGGTGGTTTAGAGAGAGGGAAGGGAGCCCTTGGCCGTTGGGCAGCTTCCATTCTATCCTGTAATTGTCAGAGCTCTTTGGCTTGGGGTTTATTTCTCAATGTTTTTGCTTTTTTTTAGAAGTGTGGTAATGGCATCATATGGACACGAGCCTGATTCACGTTCTCTTAAAATAATTATACATGCTTATTTTAGGAGAGAAACTTCTGGAATCCGGAATATTGTTTTTGCTCTAAAAAAATTACCAACCACACTAGTTTTTTGGGGGTAATAGCTGTCCTTCCTACATGGGGACATAATGTCCTGTGGTGGACATGGTTTGCCTGAGGCATAGTTACTTAAAGTTGGTTTGTTCCCTTGCTCTG